GGAGGTATGTGGCAGGAGACGGTCCCATAGGTATCCAGGCCTTAAGCCATGCAGGGCTTTAAAGGTAATGACCAGCAACTTGAAGCCCGTTCGGAGACCGATCGGGAGCCAGTGCAGCTCGCGGAGGATAGGTGTAACATGGGTGTATCTAGGTACACCCAATATCGCTCGCGTGGCTGCATTCTGGACCAGTTGTAGTCTCCGAACGCTTTTCAGGGGCAGCCCCATGTAGAGCGCGTTGCAGTAGTCGAGTCTAGATCAGCTTCTGCCAATCTCTGAACATGGCAGACAGAGCCCGTGCCCTGAAGCAATGCAACACCCTTAAGGAGACCCAAGCAAAGGTTCCTGAGGACAGGACTGGCCAAACTCTGAGTCAACCGTAGGACCACGTTCTCCTTCCTGCCCTCACCAGGACCAAGGATGCTATCAGAGAGGCAGGGGGTTTCTTAAGGGATACAGAAGACCCATTTTTCCTCTCCCTGCTTCCCTTCAGTGCTCAGCACCACGTAGCTTTTCATACTTCCCAAAATGATGGTGTGATGCCTTCAAGAGCTCCTGACCAATGGCCGGATGACTCTCAGACTTCCCTCCAAGGGGCTGGGGAACCCAACCTAGGGGGTCCCTAGAGCCCCCAATGCTCACAGGAACAGGGATAAGAGGTGGGGCGGGATTTATTGGTCAATTTATTTAATTTTTGGAGGCTCTCACTCTTATCCTTTGTGATGCCCCAGCCGCAGATATAGCAGTGCCTGAGCGAGTCTACGTCCAGGCTTCCCTCCGGCAAGCAGGCGGGCTGGACATAATCATTGCAAACCACGGGTTTGTCCAGCTCTATCAAGGCGATGTTATTCCAGTGCTTGTCCTGGTTGTAATTTTTGTGGTCCACCAGCCTCTTGATGATACGGTTCTGGGCATCTGGTCCAGGTTTGGAGCGCTGGGTGGCCCCGATCTGCACTCTTAAATACTCCAGCTTCAGGTACCTGGGTGAAAAGGGGAGAGAGGAGATCGCGTTAGAGAAGGCGAGGTCGGGTTTGAAGAGGTCCGGTGACGTCTTGGAGCGGCCTCGTTTCACCCACGTAACACCTATCCTCCGCGAGCTGCACTGGCTACCTGTCGATCTCCGGGTACGCTTCAAGGTGCTACTTGTC